CAGGTGGTCCTGCCGGCCTTGTCCAAGAGAGCCTTTCTGTACGGAATGATGACCATCTCTCCCCCAAGTCAACCCATTACTTCCTTGGATAACTCCAGCTCTACAAATACGTTAGCTGTTATTAATGGGCTCTACTGGCCCAACGTCATCTCAGCGTGGGGAGCACAAAGCTTTTTCCAGCACAGAGACCTACCTAGAGTCACAATGTGGACAACCTGCTTTCACAACACTCCACACTTCCCAATTCCCACTCAAGAAGTAGACAATGAGTATTAGACATTTTCCCAATAAAAAGAGGAATTGTTTTCATTTAAAAATTATTGAGCCCTGGCTGATGCAGCTCGGTGGATTAGGCGCCGTCCTGCAAACTAAAGGATCGTCAGTTCAATTCCCAGCTGGGACAGAGGCCTGGATTGCGGGCCAGGTCCCCAGAAGGGGGCGTGCAAGAGGCAACCACACATGGATGTTTCTCTCCCTCTTTCTCACTCCCTTCCCCTCTCTCTAAAAATAAATAAATAAATACACAGTTCAAAAATCATTAAGCACAGAGTCATACGACGTTAAGCGCTGAAGAGGCCCCGCAAGCCACCTAATTATGTGCCCCGCCCCACTGCAGGGGCGCTTCCATGACACCACGGGACAGTGCGTTTGTGGCCTGGAATCGCAAGGTGGCAGGTAGGGAGTAAGGCTCCTTGACGTGAATGTCAAGTAATTCTGAGTCTGTGCTGCTTTAAAAACGCGTTTGCTATTGCAAAGCTCCGGGAGGTGACAGGGTGCGCCAGGAGGCGGTGAAAAGCAAGCCGAGCCATTCAGCTCCTCCCCATCCCTGCGCTGTCACTTGCTATGCGATTTCCCAGCTGTAAGAAAGTGGAACTTATAACCTATTAACAGTAATTTTCAATGTTTTTAAAAAGATGTGAGCTACTAAAAACACGTGTTACTTTTGGGCCCAAAATTGAGTCGATTTTCCAGCTTCGATAGATCTTTTTAATGTACGATATAGAAGGACATGAACGTTTCATTCAGTCATGAACTCAAGAGGTAAACAGTAAGGGCCTGTTCTATGCTGGGCACACCGCTGGGCACCAGGAAGACAAAGGCGGCAGAAAAGACATGGTCTCTGCTCCAAGGAAGCTTTGTTTATGGAAGGCAGTCAGATTATCACCCAGGGAATCAGAAGTTTGTAGAAGTGCTAGAAAGGCAAAGTGCTGGACGCTCTGAGAACCCGCAACAGGAAAACAACTGATCTAGCCTGGGGAGGCGGGGCAGGGCTTGCTGCACAGGCAGCGTCCCGGCTGAGGCCCAGCTGGTCGCCGCTCCCACTCACGTAGACACGCAGCCCCACAAAATGAAGGGGCTGGGCCAAGAGCCCAGCTACCTTGGGCATCTTTGCCCTAAAACAATCTCCTTTATAAAGAGGAAGGCAAAGTATGCTACGAAGAGGCCTGAAAGCTGGTCGCTGAAAGTTCTCTGGGAGAGACAGAGCCCTGCTGACTCGCGGGTGGCCCCCAGCACCTTACCTAGTACAATTACTATCACAGTAGTTACTCAGATCTTTATGGAGATGGTCCGTGTCCGCGTTAAATCCATGTTCAGCCCTGGCTGCCGTGGCTCAGTGGGTTGAGCGCTGGCCTATAAACAGGAGGGCTGCCGGTTCCATTCCCAGTCAGGGCACAGGCCTGGGTTGCCGGCCGGGTCCCCAGCTGGGGCCTGTGTGAGGCAACCGATCGATTGATGTATCTATTTCTCTCCCACTGATGCTTCTCTCCCTTTCTCCCTCTCTCCACCTCTTTCTAAAAATGAATAAGATTTTTAAATAAATTAAAAAATAAATAGACAAATCAATGTTCATATTATCTTTAGTTAAGCAACATAAATTCACAAAACTGATCTCCGCCCACCGGAACCCCCCCTCTGCACCTCAGATGTGAAAAGACATTGTCGCCTCCTCACAGGACCGCTATCAAGATTCAGCGAGACCGCATGTGGCAAAACACCGGGGTGAATTCTGAGACACCCGGAGGATATGGTATCCCTGTGACCAAGCAGCGTGGTATGACCAGGCTCCTCTCACGGAGACGGCTCGCGAGACCCCCATGTGCTCTGCCTTCCTCACCACGGGAAACCCCGGGACACGGGTCTGCAGGCGCTCGGCCTGGCTTTCCTCTGCACGAGCTCTGAGGTCTCTTCTAGCTCTGACACAGGGGTGTCCCACCTCCTGGCGTCTCTGGGCCACACTGGAAAGAGAGTTGTCTTGGGCCACACATGACATACACAAGCACTAATGAAAACAAACAAAATCTCATAACGTTTTAAGTAAAAGTATGACTTCGGGCTGGGCTGCGCTGAAGCCATCCTGGAGCGCCTGCAGCCTGCGGGCTGCACCCCTGCCCTAGAGCCTGACCGGCGATGTTTCCAAAGGACCAAGACAGCACCTCCTGGCTCCTCACCCACTCCACTCCCCACGACTCCACACGCCCTGTGAGGAGGCTTTTCAAGGGGACTTTTTAAAAAAAGTATCTCCTCACCAGAGAATATGTTTCTGTTGATTTTAGAGAAAGGGGAAGGAAGGGACGGAGGAAGAGAGAGAGGGAGAGAGAGAAAAACATAAATCATTTGCCTTCCATATGTGGCCCGACTGGGGATCGAACCCACAATCCAGGTATGTGCCCTGACTAAAAATCAAACCCTCAACCTTCTGGGGTACAGGACAATGCTCTAACCAAACAAGCCACCCAGCCCAGGGTGAAGAAACCTATTTTCACTTATTTTACACATAGGTTTAAGTTGAATGAATTCGTCCTAATTAGAACTTCTGAATTATCTGAAAAATTGTTGTAAAACTTTCACGCCCCGAAGAAAAACAATGGGGAAAAAAAAAGTCAGAGTTACCAACTGCCAAAACCAGATTTATAACTCCTAACCCTGAAAAGTAAATTTTGGTTTCTGATTAAGGAACACCATCTGCTCTATTTTAGAATCAGAAAATAAAGTCACAAAAACATCACTTATACTCAGAAATAATAAGTGCAAATTCATTCATGGAAAAAAAATTTTACATTACAATGGCTAGACGAGAGGTGAAATGTCTACCATCTAATGCAAATGTATTACAAGACATTACCAGGTCAAAATGAAATTTTACCAAAAAAAAAAAAATAAAGTGCTTAAATAAATTATGCAGCTAAAGGCAACATTACCTGTTTAAGATTGTCTTGTTTAAAATAATTTTTTAGTGTAGTTTTGAAAAGCTCTCCCAGTTTACCCTTCACTGAAGGCCATCCCACTAAATGAGAAGACTAAGTTGGCACTTCCCCGCAGGGGACCTGTTTTCAGGATGCAAACCAGGGCTATCAGATCCAAATAAGGTTTCCCAGTAGAATGCTTCAGAAATAATATACTTCCAAAGGAAACTTTTTTAAAAAGGTAACACCTCACTAACAACAGCTAGTAAATTTAGTTTTTATGCACTTACTTATTTTATGTATGTAAACTTTAATAATTTAAGTCTACAGTTACTTCCAGAAAAAAAGCTGATCCATTCCGTCCTAGTATCAATGTCAAGACAGCAGCTTCCTGTTTGACAGTTACCTTTCATGCTTATTTTAACTACATTTTACATCCACTGAGTGTTTCAGGGCTTTAAAGTTCATTACAGTCATATTATAAATTACAACGTGCGTATTGCAACGTTCTCTTTTGAAAGAGGTGCAGACAGAAGTTAAATAACTCGTCCAAGGTCACCCGACGAGACCGTGACAAAGTTGTGACTAGGGCTGAAATTTCTGTCCTCGACTACCCACGACTTCACACTCTCCCAGTTCCGAGGGAGCGCAGAGCCCAGCGGGTTACTGTCAGGAGCTGAGAACAGCACACCTCAAACGCGGTGGGACACTTACGGACACCAACCACGGAGGCTCGCCTGGACCCACGCGGACAACGTGCTACACTTAGGTACCACTGTCATTCCCTACCGTTCTGGGCACGTTAAACCTTGGAGAAGGCTCACGCTGCCATACCCGCCCTTTATCTGCACACTGGCCGAGCAGGTGTGAGTCCGCTCCCACCCTTCCCCACGCCTAGGTGCTGCGGGCGCGTCGGTTCCCTCCCTCTCGCAGGAATCGAGTCAAAGACCACAGACCTCAAAGAGAACCAAGTCATGTTGCTAATGAAAGAAGAGCTCTAATAAGCGGCTGCTTTCAAAGAGATATGTTTAAAGGATGATTACGTGCTTCGCAGAATCACCGTGCAGTCGCCCGCCAAGACCGGTTCCCGGCACCGGGTGCGGAAGGCCCGTCCGCCGCGTCCCGGACGAGGCCGGAGTGCGGGAGGGGGGCCTGGGCGCGCTCCCACGGAACCCTCAGGACCAGCCTCGGCCCGGAGCGCGTCCCTTCGACCTCACGCCGCAGGAGCTAGCCGTCCCGGACTCTCGGGGCCGAGAGGGAGGCTCCCCGGCGGAGACAGTGACAGCAGCCCCCGCGGCGTTTTCGTGAAGAGCGGGTGTCAACGCCGGCAGAAGCGGCTCCCGGGAAGTGTCAGAGCGGCGGCAGGGGAAGCGGCCTGGGTGCCGGGCAGGTCCTTTCCGACCTGGTCTCACGCCCCCCGTTTCCTTCCCCCGCCGCCCGTTCTCCAGCCCAGAGCGACACTCCCGACCCTCCCGGGAGGCGACGCCGCCTCAGCGACCAGACGGCCACCCCACCTCTTCCGGGGACTCGCAGGCCCGCTCCCCGGCCGTGTCAGAGCCTGACGGACCCTGCCGGAGGGGACGCGGCCGGCCCGGGCGCCCCCCGGACGGCACCCCGCACCCCACGGCCCCCGCACCGCCCCCACCCCGTTCTCCGGAATCTCCCTTCCTCACCAGCGCCCCAGTGGAGTTACCGGCCCACTCCAAAGTAAGCGCGACGGCCGCCCCGGTCGGTCACCCAGGCCCCCGCTGTCACCGCCCTGCTCCCAGCCTCTGCCCACGCCGCCGGCGGCCCCGGGGACGCCCGGGTCGGTACCTTGCGGACCCCCTTGTAGATATAGAAGTAGAGCTCCCGGCCCACATTGAAGCAGAGGCGGTCGCCGTTGCCAGACTGGTCGTTGAGGTTTACGAAGGAGACGCGGACAGGGTTGGATCCCTGCGAGTTGAAGGGCACCCGGTTGGGCCGGCTGTACTCCGAGTGCGGCAGCAGCTTGTACAGACCTTCCCGGGTGGTGAATTGGGTCTTAATCTCGTTCATCTCCTTCCCTCCTCCCTCCGTCGCCATCTTGGAAAGCAGCGTTCATCCTGCCCTGAGTGCCCGGATCACGCCCACCGCGCAGGCGCTGTCCCGGGCTGGCCCTCTCCCCCCGCCTCTTCCTCCTGGCCCCTCCCACCCGCGAGCCGGCCGGGCAGAGGCAGGCCGAGGGGAAGGGGCGGGCTTGTTTACGGCCCGACTGCGCAGGCGTACTCACCTGGAGCTCCACGCGGCGGGACGTCCGCAGGCTCCTCCCCTGGGCGCGGCCTGGGACGGCCCCATTGCGGCGCAGGTAAGGCCGGCTCCGCCCTGGGGCGGGGTAGTCGTGCGCCTGCGTCCACGGCCCTGGCCGTGCTAAAGTCCCGTGAGGAAAGGCGCGGCTGGGTGGCGGTCGGGACTGTGGAGGTGAGCTCGGGGCAGTTGTACCCCGAGGGGCCCTGGGACCCGGGGGAGCTGGGGAACAGGGCAGCTTCGGCCGGCTCCCTCTTCTGCCTCGAAGGGAGCATCGGATCCCCAATATTCTGCCTTAGGGAGGAGTTGGGGGCGGTCCCCCTCCCTTGGGGCTTCCCCTCGGCCCCCTCGCGCGACCGTCGGGATCCCCTGTGCACCGACCTGCGTCAGTTTCCGAGAAGATACCTGCGTACCTAAGTTTTGCGCTTCACCGTGCGTTTTAGGTGCGGTAGAGGGAGAGTGGTGTACACATGTACACACATGCACACAGCACGTGTGTTTGCAAGTCAGGTATCTGAATACCTATCATAGGGAGTGTTGGCTGATTTTAAGAAAGATAGGTTGTGTCGGCACATCTGTCAAGTTTGTCTTCACCAGGTGTTCAGAGAAAAGGGGGAGGGGACGGGAACCTGGGACAATCTAAGCAGGATTCACTTCTCTTGAGCAGTCCTTTATTAAGCGCCCTTAATAAATTTAGAGACCATTGATTTTTTGTAAAGGCTCAAGTGGAATCTGTGACATTGTTTCTGGGGCATAGTATTGTGCATATACTGTACTGTACTATGTCTGGATGTGTAAGGACAAGCACACGTGTTGAAGGGGAAGCTGCAATTTATACCTGGGCTGTTTGGCATGTTGCACTAGAATAAGACAGTTTCTGAAGTGGCAGAAACATTCTGATAGAATTCCGGGGCGGGGGCGGGGCAACATTTGTTACAGGTAGAATGAACTATTCCTTTACGTTCACATCGTAGCTGGAGGGTCACAGAAGAAGCGGAGGAGGGTAAGTTCTAAAGTAAAAGGAGTCTAAATTATAAACATCTTATGTATCACAAAGCAGGTAGATGCCAGTGGAAACTGCCAATGATGTAATAATGCATTTGACACCGACACCCCTTATCCTTTGTACATGTTGGCAAAAAAGCACTAAAATTCTACTTAATAGATCCCTAAAATACTTTAATTTTTTTTTTATTACTGTTTTGATGTTGTCTGCATTTACCTGAAAGTCAAATAGACATCAGAAGTCTTTTAAGATACCAGGATGTCTTCTGTGGTCACCATGGATTTATCCCAGTTTCTCTAACTGTGTCATTTTACATTGAAAATATGTATTTATAACGATCACCTTGAGGGAGAGCAACACCCTGAATCATCTGAAAATAATTTAGCTGTGTTCCCTCATTATCAAGGGGGAGGGAGCATCACAGTACTTTCTGGAGGAAAAAAGTAATTCAGCAAGCAAAAATTAAAACAAAAAAGAATTTATTATCCCTCAGCCACGGCTTTCAAGTATCCATAATACCACTATTCTATTAGGGTTTTACTCTATATAAATGGAACATTTTATTTTGATCACAATTAAAATGGGCCGTTCACTTTGTCCCACCCAAAGCCTTTGAATAATCTCTCATCTTAATACTTTTTCCGTTGTAGTTTTTTACCGCTCCACACTCAACGATTCAGTAAATAACACCTGAATTTATATAACTGGACTTGACCTGAAGTTCATTTCTGAGTTTCAGTTTCATACCAGGAATTTCTAATTGGGTTTGTGCCTCAAATTCATTTGTTTCTAAACCTTATCAGTTTCCCTTCCTATTCGAGCTTGAAGGATTATATAATGGCTTTGTGAGTGATTTCCTTAATTTCACTTTTTCTCTCAATTTTGCTCCTCTAAACAACTTCCAAATTAATTTTCTTCAGACATTGTGTTCTCTCGCCCAGAAACTTCCAGCGACTTGCAGTAGCCACATTATTGCCATGCACGCGGCAGTTCTCAGCCTGCTCTCGGGGACGGCAGGACTCCCGTGCAGACTCCAGGCGCAGGCTCTGCGGTCGCCTTGGCTTCCCCTCGCTTGAGAAGCACCTCCCTGCCTCTGCTTCCCCCTTCGCAGCCTGGTCCTCAGAACTGGCGTGAGTGCCACCTTCACCAAGCCGTTCCCAAGCCCTCGGTGCAAAACCCATGTTTGAAACCAAGGATTCTCAATTCAGGACACGTGGCTGGCTTCAGAAAGTGTTGAAACTCTTTGTAATTATATTCACAATTGTGTGTACCTATTCATTATGTTTTTGAAATCTATAGCTTTCATCAGATTTTCAAAGAGGTGGGACCACCTTCTCCCCAAATTTAAAAATTACCTCTCTAAACATCTGTGGCACTTCTCTGAGCTTTCACGTGTCATGTATAATACCCTAAACCATTACCTTCTTTTGGTATTTATCAGTGTAGGCTAATTGTCATGTGTTGCTATTTATCTGTTAGTATGTACATGCTGCCTTTCAGCCAGATTGTATGCACATTCAAAGATGTGAGGGACCTCCTTCAAATTCTTTGTATCCACAAATATTTGAGTGCCCACATGTGCCACTCTTAAATAACCGTTATTTAAGAAGGAATAAGATGCTTTGTACATGATCGATTTGTGCTATTATTTCATGAACAACCTTCTAGCCTTTGGCAGGCTTCAGTGAACAAAAATTCCTCACGGCGTCTATACTCTTGCAAGGAGAAGACAGAGAGGATGAAAGACAAACACAAATGCATAACGCAGGTAGTGATTGTGCTAGGAAAAGAGGTAGAGCAAGGTTAGGGGGGTTGGGGGCATGTTGGGAAGTTTGCAGTTTAAAACATGGCCATCAAGATAAGCCCCAATGAGAAGGTGACATTTTGACAAAGACTCGAAAGAGGTGAGGGAGTGGGGCCTGGGGACAGAGGTGCCGCGGAGCGAGGACCGGGCATGCCTAGCCTGTGCCGCTCAGCAAGTCTGCCGGGCAGCTGGAGCGCGGCGGGCCGGGAAGCAGGGCCCAGCATCCATTTGTTGGCCGATTTGAGAGTAGACGCAAGAGTGGAAGGGCCACTTGGGAGGCTAACTGTCGTGGCCCAGGCAGAGGCCGTGGAGGCCGTGGAGGCGTGGGCCCTGGGCGGTCGCTGTGGAGATGGAGGGAGGCCGGAGAATCCTAGCTGTGTTCTGAAGGTAAAGCCAGTAGGGTCTCCCAGCAGATTAGATAGGATTTGTGACAGAAAGGGCGGCCTCGGGACAATCCAGAGCCCTGACTGGTGTGACTCAGCGGGTTGGGCGTCATTCCACAAGCTGCAAGGTCACCGGGTGGGTTCCCACCAGGTCCCCAGGTGGGGGCGTGTGAGAGGCTCCTGAGCGATGTTCCTCTCCCTCTCTTTCTCCCTCCCTTCCCCTCTCTCTAAAAATAAATAAATGAAATCTTTTTTTTTTTTTAAAAAAGACCCCAGAGTAGGCACCAGCAGCCGGAGGGCGTCGTTAACTGAGAGGAGGAGCCTGGGGAGGGGCAGGTTTTGAAACTTCAAAACTTAGGTCAGGGGTTCGTTCCTGAACATGCTGGGCGTTTAGAGGAAACGGCCAGGAGGCAGTTGAATGGTCAGGTCTGGAGAGAAGTCTGCGCTGCCGCCACGGACTTGGCGGTCACGGCTGAGGGGTGGCGTGGAAAGCCGGGGTGCCATCCCCAAGGGAGGGAGTGGGGGCCGTGGGGCAGTCCAGGAGGTCGGCTAGAGGAGCACATGATTGTTTGCAACTTAATACATAGAGAAGATTCACCTCAGGTTGGGTTTACTGTTTTTCATATTCAGAGATTAATCCATTAAGATGCTGAAAAGCGTGTTTGTTGTTCTTAACTTTCAGGGGAACAAGTGTTTGCCTCAATGACCTTCTTAAGAGAAACAGGCATAAATGGGTGTCTTTAGGAACCACATTTGAAATCTTTACTGACTCACTGCATAAAGTAACAAACCTCTCAGATTTATCTGGTGGGATGAGCTTATTCTATTATTACATTATGATTCAGTACTTCCTTACAAGACCATTATGGGACTTGAAAACAAATTTGGAAAACTTCCCAAAGCATAGTGTCCTTAATGCACCGCTCCCGCCTTCGGCCTCAGATCCGCAGATCGGTGAAGCTGACACGCCACCAGGATGGCTAAGTTATGAGGTGTCCTTAGATGCAAATCGATCGTGCGCAAAGCATCGTATTCCTCCTTAAGTAATCGTTATTAAGTGGATGCAACACTCAATATTTCACACGTATCTTGAAATATAGGTGCTTCTTAAAGCTCCCTTAAGGTGTTCAGATACAGCGCATTTTGTGAGAGCCTCCTATGTGGGCGTCACGGGAGGTGCTTATCCACGCTCCTACGTCAAAGCCGCCTTATAAAGGAGGAACCTTGATCCCCCCTTCAGAAATGAGAACACGAAGTGTCAGACTGATGACGTGGCTCATCTGTGCTGCCAGCCAGGGGTAGGCATTAGAGAAACAGAATTTGAATTCAGGTCTCAAAAGAGAAACATCTTGGAGTAAAATTATTTAAATACCCATTTTTATGCTATACATTACTAAAAGGGAAAAAATACCAACTTAAGTAAAGCAAAATGTTTTTTTTTTAATTCAGAGAGTTTTTTTAAGCTCAAAATTAGAAACAACCCATGGAATGGGATAAAATATTTGTAAAGAACCCCTACAACTCAAAAAACAAGTCACCTACTCTTAAAATGGGCAAGGACCTAAATAGACATTTCTCCAAAGAAGATACACAGATGGCCAATAAGCACATGAAAAAAATGCTGAGCTTCA